GATCAAAGCCAAGGAACGTTCTTCCAGTTTCCAGCTGGGAGCAGCTTTGAAGTGAAGGTACACTTACTGTAGTGAGGACACATGTATGGGAGCACACCAGCATCACAAAGGGAGAAGCGGAACACAGATAAGACTGCACCTCTCATTCCTCCCTTTTGCTGCCACTGCCACATTTCCCCCCCCCCCAAAAAAAATGTGACTCTACAGTGGTACTTCAGGTTAAGAACTTAATTCGTTCTAGAGGTCCGTTCTTAACCTGAAACTGTTCTTAACCTGAGGTACCACTTTAGCTAATGGGGCCTCCCACTGCCACTGCACGATTTCTGTTCTCATCCTGAAGCAAAGTTCTTAACCTCAGTTACTATTTCTGGGTTAGCGGAGTCTGTAACCTGAAGCGTCTGTAACCTGAAGTGTCTGTAACCTGAGGTACCACTGTATACTCTTATGCCATATGATTGGGACAGCTATTGATTTGGCTAGCTTGTTGCTTGAATTTCTGCTCAGATGACAGCTGGCAAGTAGTGTGGGCCAGGTAGAGGTTATCCTGATCAGCACACACATACAGGGGATATGGAAAGGCGGCTGCCCTTAGGTGCTGGAGCTTTTAGCCCATCAAATGCTGACAGGCAGGAATGTAATGGAAAAGACAGCCACTCCCCAAAGACTCTGATAGGCACCGGTCAAGATGGTCTAGTTGATCTAGTGCTTCCAGGCCAGGTGGTGTTACCCAAGTTAAGAATGCAGAATGGTTCTCAACTATCTCTTCCAGTTATAGTGTGCCTAAGTGGAAGTTATGGTTCAGAGTTAATGGTCTTGCAGTTTGGGCCCTTATACTTGATTATTGCTTTGTGCCTCCATTTGGGGCGGGGGGGGGGGTCAGGGATCATAGGTGAAAGATTTGTGTAGGCCAGCTGTACACACTGATGTGTCTCAAAGTTGTGATGCAGGCAAGCAGAACTCTATAAAAATGACAGGAAGACACACCTCTTATTTGGCTGCCATGCTACGTATATTGAGAACACTTTGCTCAGTAAGAAATCTACAAAACTTAGAGCAGTTGACACATCTCCCAGTAACCACCTGTATTGCCTGAAGGAGGCCTGCTTAACAGCTCAAAACTGTGGAACATTTTCTTTAGAAGTAAGATAATACTCTTTATTCTGAAGGACATATATATTGTACACAAATCCCGCGTAATAGCAATTCCAGATACGTTGATTTTCTACTTTCACTACTCTCTTAGTGTGGCTATTTCAAGGAAAACACAGAATTCCCAGTACTGTATTCTTTGTTTTTTTAAATGGTTGTTTCCAATAAGCAGTTTCCCAGAATATCTAGTTTTGAAGTTATAAGTTACTGTAATACAGCTAAATATTAGCTTTTAATTCAATTTAGGGTTTGGAAAGCAGACACTGTAACTCCTGAGAGCCCCTTAGCAAAGTCTCAGTGAGGACTAGAAATCTTAGACTGGTTTCCACATTTCATGTAAAGACCATTGTCTACTCTTTGTCAGGACTAGAAGCCTAGATGGAGAGAAGAGGCAGCTTTGTCATGGACAGCAGTTTGGACAAAAGCAGGCAATTAGTAATTAGTCCAAACCTGAGTGACAAGACTGAATCTGATTTATAGGAGCAGGTGGAATGCTATTGGCCGTGTGTGTGTCACCTGACTCCTAATTAGCTGGTAGTTACAATGCAATGTTCTAGCATCTTCAGTATCGGTATTGGAGAACAGCAGAAAAGCAGTCAAATAGTTTATTCCTCTGGTAAAAGTTTGGTAGAGTAGAGTTTAAACTCCTTGGCTTGAGACTCCTGATACCTTATAACATCTGGCAAAAAAGAACAAAGAGGTCAAATGTACAAAGTGATTTTATATATTTGAAGTTGGTTACAGGTAGTGACAAATGAATAGCACATTCACCCTGTGCTGATGCAAATCATATAACACACTGAAAGACATAAATCAAATTTAGGATTGGAACTTAATTTTGTTTGGGTCACTTTTTAAAGTGAACTGACCATCTTCAGTCAAGGATATATGATAGCTGTGCTTTCCTGCTAAAACCTCCACTGTATGTATTTTGAAAAAGAAATATGCAAAGCCATTCTTTTCCAACTTACTTTTGAGAGGTTAACTAGAACTGTTTTTGGCAGTTTAATACTTTCTTTTTCACTTGTACTTTTGAAAGCTAACACACTTTTCTCTCTTCTGTTGTATTCTTTGTGTATTGTAGCTTTTGGTTTTAATTTGTGTGTCATAGTATATGATGTACAGTGGTACCTCGGGTTAAGTACTTAATTCATTTCGGAGGTCCTTTCTTAACCTGAAGCACCACTTCAGCTAATGGGGCCTCCTGCTGCCGCCGCGCCACCAGAGCACGATTTCTGTTCTCATCCTGAAGCAAAGTTCTTAACCCGAGGTACTATTTCTGGGTTAGCAGAGTCTGTAACCTGAAGCGTATGTAACCTGAGGTACCACTGTATTAATATTTTCTTGTTACTGTTTTATACTGCATACCTTTATGGAAATTTATAATGACACACTGCCCACTGCCCCAATTACTCTTAGAAGTCCTCTCACCCTCATTGATGGGCAGTGTTGCAGCCTGGCCCTGGACCATGCAAGTGATTCGGCAAATAGCAGGTTGGATCATCCACCTGCCAGCTATTGGCCAATGCCGGCAGCTCTTGGCTTGCTGTTCCCATGGCAGGGGTCCAACCAGCCAATTGGGCTGCTTGGGCTCGCTCCCATCGGTTGTTAAATTGAAGCCTTCCTGCCTTTTTCATCTGATCTTCTGCCCACCCTCCCTTAATCTGTTTGCTTTTACTTGTGTTTTGACCTTACTATGGACCAGGTCAGCCACCGTAGTCAGGGCCGGGCAGGAATTTTTCCATTTGGCAAATTGGCACCGACCACCTGGTTTTCACCTACCTTGTAGCAATTGTCACAACTTTGTAAGGCAGTTAGGCATTGGGCAAGCCTAGAGGGGAGGGGAGGTTGCAGCCTCTGTCTGCCCCTCCTTGGGAAAGGGTATCCTGTTAAAAGGATCTGGGAGGAGTGGGAAGGCATTCTCACCAATACCCAGGCAGGGGCTAGGGCCATACCACTCCTCCAATGGGGACTCTGCGGGGGGTACCACTATTTGATGTAAGTCATAGGGCATCGTCCCCCCCATTGGTTGTGGTTTACCCTTAGATGCACTCCCAGCAGATGGGCTGGAGTGGAATAGCAATGGTTTTACCCAACGCCAAACCATTCTCTACTGTAACCAATAAAGTTGTGGCCATATTCAAGCCCCAAACCCAAAATGATGTTGTCCTGTGTGGTTATTCATCCCCCCTTAGGGAACTGTGGGGTCACGGGGTTTTGACACGCAAATCATTATAATATTCATAATTTATTCTTGCATGGGCCATTCATTTTGGCTTATATGTTGTGGTGATTAGAGTTGATTGCTTATGTTTTAAGCATTGTTGCAATTTGGATTTATTGTTTATGCCTTGTGATCCTCCTTTAAGCTTGGAAACCACTTGAATCTTATGGGATACAAATATGTCAAACAAATAAACTCGGGAACCTCACTTTTCTCAGAACTAACTTCTAAGTTTAAGAAACATATGTGTAGAAGCTTGACTCATACAACTCAGGATTCTTGAGTAAGAAGCAAGAAGTTGTTACTCTTCAGCCATAAACCATCCTATCGCAAGCCTTCTCTGCTCTACTTCCTTCCTTCTTTATTTGGAATCCTTTCATTCAGCAGTAAGTGAAAATCTTGGCATGATTACAGAGCCTCTGTTTGTATGATAGCAGGGGTGACTAACCTGCAGCCCCCAGATGTGGTTGGACTCCAACTCCCATCAGCCCCAGCCAGTGTGGCCAATGAGCAGAAATGAAGAGAGCTGTAATTTAGCAACATCTGCAGGGCCACAGAGTTCTCATCCCTTCTGTTCAGGATCCGAATAATGTTCTTGGGAATGAGGAGGTTTTTATTTAATAATTCTCATAAAGCTATCAAGTCTGTAATTGGAATGTAGTCTATGCCATATGGCAGTACATTATCTTGCACTTTGGGACTGACATATTTTATCTGGTTTGTGAGGACGCTAGGATTTCTTGTAATGGCACAGCGCCGGAAGACGGAGGAAAGACTGTGCAAGCAGACTATGGTATGACTCTTGAATAAAGCCTGTTCATATGTTCAGGCATGTGGCCATATCATTGCAGACATGTCCTGTTTTCTGTCTCCTTCTTAAAGCTGCCTATGTTGCCAGCAATTAATTTTGCACCTGTGCATATGGTTTTTCTGTAACTAGGATAGGTTTCCACAATAAATTGTCAAATCAGGTTTGATTGGCCAGAAATATTTCTTTTCCTGACATATTTAAATAACCAGTTTGTAGACATTTACAACTACATCTGGAGTTGGCCAAATATCAACAGTGAATATTCATTCAATTATGAACCATTGGATTTGTACAGGGCTCTCAGAAATGCTGGACTTGTACCAACATTTTAATGCAAAGAAAAAGAATGTCCTAAGCAAAGATTGAACTCTGCTCCCTTAATGGTGGTTCCTAGATAAGACCATTGCAACCATTCATCTCACTTTCCTCTCTTGGACACAAGTGCTACAAATGGTTGATTGCAATTGGCAAGCTTGGAAAAATGGCTAGACTGGATAACAGTTTCAAACAGTGTGGCAAGCTAGTCTGTTATAAGGATTAAAGCAGACAGAGGATATGTATGGCCTTCTGGAAATGGCTGAACTACAAATTCCATCATCCCTAACCATAGTCCAACTGTATTGGGTTGGCCACAGTGGACTCAAGATAGCTGGGTTCAAATTCCCCTTCAGCCAGAAAGCTAAATAGATGATTCTGGACACGTCATAATCTCTTAGCCTCTCTCAACTCATGGGGTTGTTGAAGAGTATCTGTGATACAAATCTGATAATCACAGTGCCAGCAAATCAGTAGCAGATCAGAAAAATATATATCTTGATCCTCAGTTGGTAGAACATCTGCTTTGCATGCAGAAGGTTCCAGGTTCAATTCCTAGCATCTCTAGGTAGGGCTGGGAATGTTGGCTGCCTGAAACCATAGAAATCCATTGCCACTCAGTGTAGATAATACTGAGGTAGATCAACCATGGGTATGGCTGAAGCTGCATACAAACCACATATGTAAGCACATGGCTTCCTCCAAATAATCCTGGGAACTGTAGTTTGTTAAAGGTGCTGGGAATTGTAGTTCTGTGTGGAGTAAACTGCAGCTCCTAGGATTCTTTGGCTAAGTCACATACTTTGAATGTGCTTAAATGTATAGTGTATATGCAAACTCAGTACAGTATAAGACAATTTCCTGTATGTTCCTGTTTAAAAATGCACATATAGTACAAGCTTGAAATCATGTGCATCAGTAAACTATTAGCTTGCATGAACAATTTACTCTTTGCTGTGCCATTTGAAATCCTGACTCATATACAAGTGGGATATGGAAAGGAGCATCATCCTGGTTGCCCTATGGAGATGTAGGCAAATGGACCAGTGGGAATACAAAGATGTTTATAGCAGCAGTTAACTATTTCCACAATTTGTTGTTCCAATATACTACTGAAGGTCGCAATCTTTTGCATCTCACACAACACAGTGGGAGTTATTTTTGAATAAACACGTTTAGGGTTCTGCTGCATGCCACTTGTTCAGATCCAGTTCATTTTGGACAAGTGATATTTAAACTTCACCCTTTTAACTTATTAAAATAGGGCTTATAAGTATTGTGCAGCAGTATGGATAGTTTGGCTCATTTCTTACTTCCCCTTGAGGTTTCAACAATGAGGCCACTTTGCACTTGGGGGAATTTTTGGAAACAGACACTTTGTTATTCACAGAAATACAGGAAGCTGCCTTAAACTAAGTCAGACCGTGTGGTCCACCTAGTTCAGTAGTGTCAACTCTGACTGGCAGAGACTCTCCAGGGTTTCAGCCAGGGGACATTTCCAGTCCTACATGGGGACACCTTGGATTGAATTTAGGACCTTCTGAACACAAGGCAGATGCTTAACTACTGAGCTACAGTCCTTGCTCCAATTCCTTTCCTTCACTGTTATCATCCGCCCAGTCCTTCTTATTTAAAGTATATCTTAGCCCAGCATTCATTCCAACAAGAGCTTTACTAAGAATATATTTTTCTAAGGTTGAGTACTTGCAAGGAAATGCATGCTTCACCAAGAAAAAAGATTGTAATTGTATTTGCTAAGTGATGAATAGTGCTGATGGTGTCTCTAAACAAAATCTCTCACACAGGGCACAATTCAACCAAAGTTAAGCGGTTTTGAGTTGTTTTGATTTAACCACTTTCTCTTCCATTGGAAACACACACACACAGTCTGATGGCTGGATTATATTGGCTGGATTATATTGATAAAGTGGAAGTCTTGCTCTTTCTGTTGACAAAGAAGATTTGTTTATAGGGTAGTTCATTACTCATCTTGGTTTCAGTAACGGTAAAGCCAAACCTCAACTTCCTTTCACTGCTTGTATGAACAATTCCTCAATGATGTAATGCTTTCAGCTGAAGCCTAGCATAATGAAGGATTATTGGCCTGAAGCAAACTAATTGCAGTGATTATCATTCATGGGACACATGGCTTTCACTTTAAAACAGCTACCGTAATAATAGCAACAGTACATTGGCTGTTACGAAATCGTAAAAAGTCTCATTATGTCCATCACTACCCTGAGTACTATCACCACACACTTAATTGCCACATAATTGAATTCGACTTCACAGTTCTAGATGGAACAAGAATTCCATTCAAATCAATGGGATTTCCTTCTGAGAATTAAGACCCAGGAGTTTGGAAAATTAAAATGAGTCATACACCTTTGTGTTCGGTTTAACAAGGTATATAAATACTTCTGCCATGATCCAATGTTCTGAAATTATCTCCACCCATTGTTTCCTTTTGGATGGAAGAATTGTATATGCAGTATCACAGGACTGACATGGGTTTCTCCCTCAATGTTTTAACTGTATCCATGTCTCATGTTTTAGCAGTTATATTAATTCCAGAAAAATTAGATGACAAGATGCTTCCTGGAACCAAGGAATTAGGTTCAGGATTTTAATCTAATGATGCTATTGCGAAATATACATTCACTTTTTAATATCAGTATGATGCATTTACAGGGAACCAGGCAGAGGACCTTCTCGGTAGTGGCACCCACCCTGTGGAATGCCCTTTCACCAGATGTCAAGGAAATAAACAATTATCTGACTTTTAGAAGACATCTGAAGGCAGCCCTATTTAGGGAAGTTTTTAATTTTTAATTTTATTGTGTTTTTAATATCCTGTTGAAAGCCACCCAGAGTGGCTGGGGAGCCCTGGCCAGATTGGCGGGGTATAAAGAAATTATTATTATTATTATTATTATTATTATTATTATTATTATTACAACATATCAATAGTATTGACTGAAAGGTTAGATTACTGAAGTGTGTTGTTTGTGGGGCTGCATTTGAAGACGGTTCAGAAATCGAGCAGCCAGATTGCTCACCAGAAAAAGGGAGTCTGAGCACATAACACCAAGCCTGGCCATACTGCACTGGCTACCAATTAGTTTCCAGAATCAATCAAGTGCTGGTTTTTGACCTAAAAACCATATGCTGCTCAAGACCCAAATACCTTAATGACCACTTCTCCCTATATCAGGCATGTCCAAAGTCCGTGGCATTATATGTCCTGGGGTAAAATCAACAACTTCAATCCTAAAAAAAGCTCGGCCCTCACACATGTTCCTTTCATCAAATCTGGCCCTCTTTGAGAATAGTTTGGGCGCCCCTGCCCTATATGAACCAATCTTGACCGCTTAATTGTCATCAGAGGTCCTTCTCAATATGTCCCCTCCAGAGAACGTCTGGAAGGTGGCAACAAGAGAACAGGGTTTTTTTTGCTGGTGGCTCCTTCCTTGTGGAATGCCTGGCACCCTCTTTGTCTAGTTTTTGATGCCAGTCTAAACTCCCCCCCCCATTTTTACCTAGGCTTTTGGCCCTTCCTTTGAAGAGTTTTTAAGTATTTGTGGTCTCTTTTAATGGGGCAAGCTTTGCTAGACCTGTGTTTGTTTGTTTGTTTGTTTCATGATTTTATTGATCATGTTTCTTGTAACTGGATTACACGCATGCATCTATACCACCCCTCATCTATATGTGTCTATACCACCCCTCATCAATAATACCAGGGCAGCTCACAATATTGATTTGTGTTCCCAGTTCATATAGTTTATAGTCAATGAATTTCTGGGGAAATGGGCAAAAGTACCAGGAAGAGCTAGCAGAGACATCAGCTTTAGGAAAAGTAGATGGCAAGAGAAACTGGGTGCTAAGAGCAGTTTTGTTTTTCAGCTGCTCTTGTCTAGTACTTCCGCTCTGTTGCTTGGTGAGCAATTTGGATGGGCTGCCAAAACAAATCACACAAACCACTTTTAAGCAGGTTCCACTTTTCCGCATACTGCTAAGCCATAGCTATGGTCAATAAGCCAACAACAAACCATGACTTATTTCATGAATAAGGCACTGTTCTGGGTTCAGATAAATCATGGTTTATTAATGATTTGTTTAAACCATGGTTTAATGTGATGTGAGAACTGGGTCATTTGGCCATAGTGAAAAGCAAAACTGTTTGCATTGTACTTTGCAGTGTACTCAAGAGGAACCCTGAGGAGCTCACAATCTAATATGTGACAGCGGAAACAACAGAGGAAGAGGAGGAAAGGCAGAGGTAAACAGGGAGGCAATAGGCACTTGTTTCAGTAGAATACCCAGTGCTCTTAACAATTTATCTAGGGGTTATAACTCTTTCTGAGGATGACAGCAGCAGCATGTGAAATGGAGTATCCCATTAGGGGTAAAAACCCACTGAATTTTCAACTGCAAAATGAGAATGAGCCACATTATCATGTCTGAAACACAATAAATCTGTCTCCAATCTGCAACAAACAAGGGGAGCTTAAACTACTCAATTTGTGCTATCCACTCTCAGGTCACAGTGCGGCCTAGACAATACGTGCTCAGCCATAAGCCCCTTAACAAGGCACAACATTTTAGGTTCTGTGGCTAGTTGCCACTGTCATTTACTCTGCATCTAGCATGCTCCCTCAGTTTGTTTGGAAAGTGATGTAAACACAATGATAGCCACAATTCACATCCTGCCATTTCTTAGGAACTATTGCATTTTCCTCCAAACCAGCTTTGATCCAAACTGAGATCCAAGCTGTGTTTTAAACTGGTACTGGTCAGTGAGTCAGAGATGCTGCAGTAACCAATGTGACTTAGTCATCAAATTGTGAAAACAGACCATCTAAAGCCAGTCACAAGACACTAAGTGGGGAGATGATGGGTTTATGATCAGTGTGATATATCTGAAACTTTTTTGTTGTTGTTGTTGTTTCAGAGCAATATATCTCTGAACAGTAAATCAATGAGACCAGTGTTTTTGCCATAATAATAAAAATAGTATGCGACCTTGAACATTCCTCTTGCTGCCTTTGCCTTATTTATGACAGAATATTTGATTTGAAACATTCTGTAGCTTCCAATTTGTTCCCCCTGAGCCTATTTGTGTGTAGAATATTCTAAGTTGATTTCATTGTATACAAATTATTATGTAATGACTCAATGAAAAATGGTAGCTTTAAATTTAGCCAGAATGATTTAGCATCCCCCCCCCACTTGTCTTCTTCCTGGGAAATTGGACATGTTTGTAGTAAGCCTTATGTCACTCTTAAACAATAAGGGATGGTGAGACTGGCATTCAATGCAGTTCCCTAGCTGGACTTTCAGTGTGGGCCAGGCAAGGTTTCCTAGCCCAAAGGAAGTTGGGGAAGGGGGGGGGGTGGAAGACTCAGCAGTACTTGAGGAAACAGTGCCCCATTGATTCACTCTTCCTGAACACAATACACACTGTAAGGCTAACATAGATGAATTTTTTGAAGGAAAAAAATCAGCCAATTATAGGTCATTGTGCCATTTAATTTCCTCCATCTAAGTCCAGAATGATGCCAAAGAGA